TTTTTCGTATGATTACAAGTCACGATTTTTTTCGAATACAATTTTTTCCAAATAATCAAAAAAGTCACAATTTTTTTCCGAATAATCAAAAAAGTCAACGATTTGTACAACCAACTTCTATAATCAAAAAACGCCATCTCCTTAATCAAAAACGAATCATTTGCGTAAATGAAAGTTGGATCAGATCTACCATTTTGATTATTCTCTTGGATTCGGATTCGGACGAAAAAGACGAACCAATTTGTGAAGAGCAATTCCCAATAAACTCAAATGTAGGGTTACGTAAAAAAATTTAAATTACCTCTACACACACGACATCGAGATCAAAATTTCCGAATTAGATGAAATTGCGAAGCTATACACAAATAATAATTATCGAAATTTTGTATATTTGGTGATGCGCATAATCAGTCAGGTCGATAATCACCACACATATCAATTGATCTCGCGAGTCTGTTCAGGTTAAATTCTGTTATTATAAAATAGCCTTTAAAATTACATCTTTATTATTCTTTTATGTCTGAGGTTTGATATTAATTTATTCAAATCTGTTATAGGTAACCGAACTTTTCATTATTAAAATATCGGTTATTTATAATGAGTCATAAGATTACTATATAATGGGACAAATAACGATAATATTGTGATATCGTATCTAGATGCATTGTTCGTTGTGGGTATATTTTGTATTTCGCTAATTTTTGCTATACCAGTTTTTTCAAGAATTTTTTCCTTAGTTTAATTGAATTACTTAATGTCTTTATAATTTAAAACGTGAAAAAAAAAAATAAAAAAAAATCCACATTTTTCATATTATTTTTAGAGAAACCATTCATTTTCTAATTATATTTTTAATGATGTTTTTTTCTTATCAATTCTTCAATAAAAATTTGACGTTTTTTTTTTATTTCCTAATAAAAAATTTTCATCATTCTGCTTATTGATCAACAGCTTGCTTGTTTGTTTTGCTTTGCTAATTTATTTGTTCAACCTTATATGAACAATAGCATAAATTAAAATGACTGATCCTAATTATAAATAATTCTCGTCTTTTACGTTAAAAAAAAAAAAAAAAAAAATTTAAATGGGAGTACCTGGCTTTTTTAAATGGTTATCTTTACGTTATCCTCATATTGTAGAAACAGTCAAAAAAACACCACGAAGTAAAACAGATTTTTTGTATTTAGATATAAATGCTTTATTTCATGTCGCAATTCGTAGTAAGAAATTCTCTAAAAAACCAAAGACTCCACGTCGAGTATTATCAAAAGTTTTTAAAGAGATGGATAATGCATTCAGCGTTTGTGAACCACAAATATTGGTATATATAGCCATGGATGGTGTTGCTCCTAGAGCAAAGATGAATGAACAAAGATCAAGAAGGTACTTGGCTCAAACTAATCAAGGGTCTTCTGATTCATCCGATATTTCAACAAGTGAACCGTTAGAAGGTGATAATTCGTTGAGAGCAAATCATGGGAAAGGTTCCGGATTTTTTGTCCCGGTTGATTCTGTTGCGATATCAGCTGGAACCTCTTTTATGCAATCAGCGAATGATGCTATTAAATTTTATATTTATCAACGCTTAAATGGCAAAGCAAAAAATCTTCAAGTCATATTCAATGATTCTAGTGTAGCGGGCGAAGGTGAACACAAGGTCTTTCAATTTTTAAACGCGCAACGCAAGGAACCAGGCTATAATTCAAAATTCCGACATATAGTTTGCGGAGGAGATGCTGATTTCATCATGTACGCTTTGTTAACACATGAACCCAACCTGCGTATTTTACGACCAGGAACTAATGGCGATGATGTCGTGCTTTACATAAATAAACTTCGCAAACATATTTTACATGATATGGTAGTACCTCAATTAATTGCAGAGATCAATGAGGAAAATATAATCGAAGATTTTGTATGTATTGTAAATTTACTCGGTAATGATTTTATGCCAAGGTTAACGCATTTAGGTGAAACACGAGTGGATCTCTTATTTCGTGCGTACCGAAATTATTTTAATAAATATCGCACTTATATCACCAATAAAGGTGGATTTATCAACATGGAACAATTTCTCAGTTTTATCAAGTTTATAGGAGAGAGAAAATTCTATAATAGTAGTACCTCGAACTTGAACTCTGCTCCTGTAAGCGAAGTAGCAGCCAGAGCCAATGATTACATAAAGACAATTTGTTGGGCTTTACAATATTATTCTGGTGACTGTCCAAGTTGGAAATATTATTACCCTCATCATAAGCCACCATCTATTGAAGAAATATTGAGACATGTGCATGCGGAAGGTTTTGATCAAACCTTCAATGCGGACACTCCGATGCGACCATTTGAACAATTGATGTGTATCATTCCTCCAGTATGCCATTATCTTTTACCTGAACCTTTCCATGATCTACTTACGGGTCCAAAGTCACCAATAATAGAATATTATCCTACAAAATTTAGTAGTTCAAATTGTAAAGCTATTTTGCCATTTATTGATGAGAAGGTTTTATCGCAAGCAATGATGCCACGATATGCTTTACTAGGCCCGGAAGATGCACGTAGAAATGAAGTTAATGGGTATGTACACATTTACGCGGGGAAAAATTCGACTACTTATTCAACCATATATTCACTTTGTATGGCGAGAGGTGGAAAATCCGTCTTTTCTGCAAATTCGGTTGTTTTTGGACAATTATATCATGATGGACCGAAGCGATCATCAGTTGAATCACCGATTAACGAATGGCATAATATTAATTACAATTCGGTCGTTAACGCTGAATTTAGATTGCCAAACATTCTTAGTGATTCATCGTTCAAGAATCGAGTTAATTCCTTACAATCTAACACAATGCAACCTTCAAGTACTACAAATAACGAACTTTACAATCATCATCAACCATCGTCGTCATTATCGAGCTCCCGAAATTATAAAGTTATCTCATCCAACTCAAATGTGTTAATGGCTAATACAAATATACCCAAAGGAAATTCAAATTCGGAGGAACGACCAAATGCGAAAGTAGGATTTTTCACAAATCAGCATAGGAGTTTGCTTCAAGGGAATACCTCAATTAATTCAACATCTCAATTTCGGAATGATGGGACAGTACTTCCGGGGAACGCATCAAATTTGCGAAATTTTACAACTAATATTTTAAGGTCACATACGCCAATACCCTCAGAAAGTCAAAATGTAATTTTCCAATCACAAGTTCAAAATCGGACGCGCCCAGCAGACGGAAGATATTTTGTTGATCAAAATGTAACATTTAAAAATTATTATGATAAAAATTACTACTTTTTACCGAAAAGATAATATTTAATAGTACAAATGTATTTGGATTAATTTATATTTTTCACGTAAAAATGATTTAGAAAAAATAGAATAATACATAAAAATTATTAAATACCTTTTTCCCAAGTTCAATTTTGAAATTAGGGCATATAGCCTAAAAATGAAGGCCGAAAGTAATTGTTCTGAATGCATTTAAGAAATTTTTTGATTTGATTAAGTTTTTTTTTTCACGCCTTATCGACCCTGACTGATTATGCGCATCACCAAACATACAAAATTTCGATAATAAATGATATGTAATTCGGAATTATTTGTGTATTGCTTCGCAATTTCATCTAATTCGGAAATTTTGACCTCGATGTCGTGTGCGAGGTAATTTAAATTTTTTACGTAACCCTACATTTGAGTTTATTGGGAATTGCTCTTCTCGAATTGGTTCGTCCTTTTCGTCCGAATCCGAATCCAAGAGAATAATCAAAATGATAGAACTGATCCAACTTCATTTACATTTGCAAAGATAAAAATTCTACATGCTATTTCTATTTTCTCAATTGATTACTCGAGAAATCGCTGTGAAGTTGTTTTGATACTTCTTTGTTAAGCAATCTCTGAACCTTACGCTCTTTATTTGTTGCTTTATAGACGGCAAACCTAAGAAAAATAATAATCGTCGACAATTCTTTCTGCAATTTATCTAGAACGATCGCACATTGGACGTGTAACTTTAAAAAAAACTCATAATTTTCATGTTAAAGATGGTAAAACTTTATTGTATTAAACAAATACACCTTTCAAAGAATAAAAATCAAGAACCTAAACTGATAACCGAAATCGAAAACTAACCGACTGAAACTAGCAAAATAAATACTAGTACCCAAATTGCACGACGCGGACGTCAGTACTATCCCCTCCAAAAAATGGAGCTCTCATCTACCAAGCAAAGTTCCCAGTCTATCTAAACCCACAATTCCAACGATGCATGGAGAGAGTGCCTTTGGGTTTCTATCTAAATTTTATTTATTTATTTTTTTTTATTCCCTCTTTCATGTCTCAAGTTTTCCTTCTTGACGGTTTGTTATTCCCAGTTCCGTCCTTCTGGGGCGTTTGGTGTCCAGTTATCTCTTCTGGAAGTTTGGTAACCAGTTTATTCTATCTGGTAGTTTGGCCAGTTTCTATCTGTTGAAGTTCTTGGCCCGTAAAAGGAAGGTACCTCCTCCAGAACCAGTAGACCTTTTACAGCTGTTTTTCAAAGAACTATGTAAAAAAAAAGTTTTATACATGGGAAATAAAACTTAAGATTTTAATACATATTTTAAGAGAGGAAACACAAAAACAGAGTGTGCTTGCGAAAGACTGTGTTCACGAAGGTAAGCGGAAGGAGAGAAAGAATAGGAAAGGGAAGAATAGAAATAATAAGAAAGGAAAGGAAAGAAAAAGGAAAAGAACAAAGGAAAGGAAAGAGAAGAGAGAATAGGGCAAGTGATAAAAAGTAAAATCACCAATTATATACCCCTATTACAGATTGGATATTACCAAATTTATCATTAGACTTTGCGATGACAGTAAATTAGGGTTCTATTACTTTTATTACGGTTATTATTAAAAAAGAAATCTTTTCTCGTGTATTATATATAAAATGATGCAAAAGTATCGAACTTGACCTCCTGTTTATGACCTTATTGCTGATCTTATTGTTAAAACAATTGTGATTTATATAGTAATTGGCAAGAGGGTCAGTCAACTTTCTATAAATGCACTTCCCCTTGGGACCAGGTATAAGGGTGCATTTAAAGAGGTGTGCATTTATAGAATATATATAAATCTATATAATATTAATCTAAAATTAAAGTAATACAAAAAGTTTATAAGTAAACTATATAAAATTTTTTAATAAAGAGTGCTTTAGCACTAAGGCCCAAGTTGGAATCAGATAAAAAGGAGCATTTATAAAAGGTGTGCATTTATAGAGAGTACATTTATAGAGAGTTGACTGTACTACGATGAGGGTCAAGTTCGATACTTTTGCATTTTTTTATCTCAATATTTTCTTAAAAGTAGCAAAATTTACTCTTTTAATAACAAAGCAAAAATTATTCTTACTTGATTTAAAATGTTATTAATTAGTTTTCAATATTTTATTACATATCATTTTACAATAAAAATATACTGTTAATAAACATTCAGAAATGAATAAGCCTATAGTAAACAAATGTGACTTTATCATTATATTCCTTTAACGTTACTTATAAATTTTATAAAAAATTATATTATAAATCTGGATTTGTTTTAAAAAAAATAAAAGTGATTATTCATTTAATAAATATCTAAATGCATAAACAGAAAATGGGATATATGCAAATTATTGTAAATAAATATAACAACAAAAAATTGTAATATAATTTATATAATAAATTTATATAATTTTCTAATAATAAAAATTATGTTTTCTTCTTTGTTTTTGAATGTGAAAGGAATTTAAAATAAAGACATAAAAAGTCATATATACGTATAAATCAATTTTAATTATTAAATTCTTTTACTAAATGAATTTTTAATTTCAAAAGTTAGCTATTTAATCAAAATATTTTATTAAATTTAATTTTACAATAAAAATTAAAAATAACGCTTGTTTAAAATTTATAAAATCTATTAAAATATGTAATTATTTTTTGTAATACTATTACTAAATTATTAAATATCAATATTGCTTTCAAGATCAAATGGATTGAATTAATTAACTAAGCTAAAAATAATCAACTATAATCAATCAATTGATATAATTATATTACATAATTAAGGCTTTATCAAAAAATACCTAAAGAAAAATTCTTAAGCATCATTTAGATCTTTATTAATCTGAAGTCTACACTCATCACACTTATATACTTTATTTCTACCCAAATTCCTCTTAATATATCTAGAGTTCTGAATGAGTTAAGTCGAGTCGAGTTTAAAGACCAACTCTATTCAACTCATTTTTTCAAGTTGAGTCAAGTCAAATTTATTTTATAAAATCTTTCAATTTGATTTGATTCAAGTTATATAAATTTTAAACTCGAC